GGGGAAAGGAAAGAAGGGAAAGGAAAAATGATGAGAAATGGAAAAAATGGAAATAAAGTCTTGGTAAATAGGGAAGGGTGGAGGGCGTGAAGGGAGGGCTAGGAATGGGGAAAAAATAAGAATCAAGATGCATTATGTAAAGGTATAATTCCCAGTGAGAAATGTAATTGTGTTGTATACCTACAATGTACCAATAAAAGAATTTTAAAAAAAAGGGTGAGGTTGGACCCAAGACCTGTGAGGGAAGGAGCCATCCAGATATTTGAGGGAAGAGCAGTCCAAGCAGAGGAAGTAGCGAATGCAAAGGCCTTGAGGTGGGATCCCCAACATGTTCAAGGAACATTGAGAAGGAGGCTGGTGTGAGTGAGGGAGAATAGTAGAAACTGAAGTTTAAGAGTTCAGAAGAGGGGGGTCGGGGATTTAGCTCAGTGGTTTTGCCGCCTGCTGCACAAGCGCAAGGACCCGAGTTTGATCTCCGATACCAAAAAAAAATTTTTTTAAAAGAGTTCAGAAGAGGGGTTGGGAGTGTGGCTCAGTGGTAGAGGCATGGATGTGTGAGGTCCTGGGTCGATGCCCAGCCCCAACAATAAGAACAACACAAAGTTCAAAAGGGGTTGGTGGCAGAATGTGTAAAGTTTTGTAGGCCAATGAGAAGACTCTGGCATTTACTCTGCATAAGATAGGCAGCCACCTGGAGAGTCTTAACCAAACAAGTGACCTGATCTCACTCTGACAACGAGGTTGAGAGCAGAATATTTACAGGAGAAGCAAGGGTGAAAACAGAAGATGAGGAAAGAACACTTTGGACTGAGGTAGTAGCAACAGTGATGGGAGGGCTCAGATTTTTTTTTTTTTTTTTGGTACCGGGGATTGAACTCGGGTCCTTGAGCTTGCGCAGCAGGCGGCAAAACCACTGAGCTAAATTCCCAGTCCTGGAGGGCTCAGATTATGGGCTAAAGATTCAAGATGGAGAGCAAGATAATAAGAGATGAAAGAAAACCGCTCAGAATTTATAGTACGAAAATGTAATTTTCCTCATTAAAAAATTGTTTTGAAACAACACTACCAAAAATGATTTAAAAATCAGTGAAAGGCTTGAAAAGATATTTCCCAAAAGAATATATACAAATGGACAACAAGCATATGAAAAGATGCTGAATGTTGGAAATTATTAAATACAAACCAATACCACAATGAATATCACCTCACACCCAATAATTTGGCCACAAAAAGCAAAACCAAAAAATAACAAGTATTAGTGAAGATGTGGAGACACTAGAACACTTAGGCTCTTTGGATGGGAATTTAAAATCTTACAGCTACTGTCAAAAATGTTATGGTAGGGCCGGAGATTTAGCTCATGCCTCACAAGCACAAGGACCCGAGTTCAATCCCCAGTACCAAAAAATAAAAAATAAAAATGTTATGGTGGTTCCTCAAAAAATTAAACAGAAAATATGATACAGCAATTCTACTTCTGGGAATATATCTGCTTATACCTGCTATGGTTTGGATATAAATGCATTCTTCCCAAAAGTTTATGTGTTGAAGACTTGCACCAAGGGAAGCAGTATTGGGAAGTGGTGGAGTTTTAAGAGTCGGGCCTCACTGGAGGTCTATAGGTTACTGGGGAGTTGCCCCTAGAAGGGGATGTGGGCCCCAGTCTCTCTGGCTTCCTGTATTGAGCAGTAATCTCTTCCTCCCACACACGAGCCCTCTATTGTGACACTTCCCCGCCATGAGATCCTTACCAGAACCAAGCTGATGCCAGCTAAATGTCTTTAAACCTCCCCAAACTACTGTAAGCTAAAGAAACCTCTTCTTTGTAAAGTTAGCCTGGCTAAGGAATTTCATTATAGTAATGAAAAACAGACTAATGGAATATCCAGAAGAATTGAAAGCAAAATAGGGTCTGGTTTGTTTTATTTTGTTTTCTTTTGGTACTGGAGATCAAACCAAGGTCTTTGAAAATGTTAAGACACCTTCCACCACTACACTACACCCTTAATCCTGGAATAGGATTCTTACACATATGTTCATATAGTAGCATTATTTATAACAGGCAAAAGTGGAAGCAATCCCAATGTCTACCAATGGATGAATGGATAAACACAATTCCATGTATATATTTGGTTGTCTTATTTTACTTTTGAAAAGGAAGGAACTTCTGACACGTTACAATGTGGATGCACACTGAAGATACTATTGTAAATAAAATAAGCCAGACACAAAAAGACAAATATTGCATGATTCTACTTGTATGATGTATTTAGATTAGTTAAACTCATAGAAATAGAAAGAAATGTCAGGGACTGAAAGTTTTTTCAGTTTTGTTTTTTTTTTGGTACCAGGGATTGAACTCAGGTCCTTGCACTTGAGAGGCAGGTGACAGAACCACTGAGCCAAATCCCCAGCCCGTTTTTTCAGTTTTGAAAGGTGAAAAAGTTATAAAGATTGGTTTTACACCAATGTGAACATACTGAACACTACTGAACTTCATACTTTTTAAAACGGTGAGGATGGTACATTTGATGTTATGTGTATTTTATCACAATTTAAAAAAATTTAAAACCAAGCGCTTTACAGAAGTGTCTCTTTTCATTAAATTTACCAGCAGACAGGAGTCAATATGGGGGAATTTTCACACTCTTTATTGTCACCACACTTGTTTTTATGTTCCCCTCTGGGGTCACTTTTCTCCTAGCACCACTATGGAAAGTGTATTTTACTCATTTGTCTGTCTCTCCCATCAGAATATCATTTTATGAAGGGAGGGATTTTCCATTACGTTTCTGAGTCCCTGGTGTTAGCTTTCCAGCATTGAAACAAAATACCTGAGATAAACAAATTACAAGGAGGAAAAGTTCATTTTGGCTCATGGTTTCAGTCCATGGTGGCACTGATTTTAGGCCTGAGGTGAGGCAGAACATCATGGTGGTGAGTACATGGCAGAGGAAACCTGCTCCCCTTATGGCAGATGGGAAGCAAGAGAGAGGAAGGGATGGGGGTCCCAATATCCCCTTCAAGGTCACACTCCCAGTAAGATAATTTTTTCTCACTAGGCCTCATCTCTTAATAATGCCACAGGTTAGGGATTAAGTCTTTAGCACATCGGGCCAGGGATTTAGCTCAGTGGTTCTACCACCTGCCTTGCAAGCGCAAGGACCCAAGTTCAATCCCCGGTACCAAAAAACAAACAAAACAAATTATAACTGCTCTTCAATAGGAAAAATACAAGTGAGGACAGATTTCTTACTACTGTCTGCTTTATGGCTACCAAAGTACCTCAGCCAGTGCCTAAGTGCCTACCTGGCTTACATCCATTATCAAAAAAGAAAGAAAAAAATGTACCATGTGCAAAAGTTTTAAGATTACATACAATTTCAATGCTGAATATTAAATATACCTTAAATTTAGATAATAGAGCTTATTCTATGTGGTAAAGAGATAAAATGATATTTTATCACTTAAGATCATTATGAAATTGTCTAGTATTATCTGTGACTATGATGTCTCTTACAATAAGAGTTAAGAGATTTCTGGAATATCCTTGTTCAAGGTAAGATTTTTTTACTCTATGAAGGCTAACTGAAATGTGATTATATTGATTGCAAATATTGGGAAAGAACTATAGTTTGCCATTTGTGTTAGAAAAGCTTCAGAATATGTATGCAAATTTGGCAAATGGAGTTAGTTTTCCCTATAGTACTATGAATAAAAAGGATATTTAAACAAATCATAGGTTCATAGAAAATCTCTAGTTTTGTGGCCTATTTTCTCAAATAATGGGAAATGAACTTTCAATAAAAAGTACATCGGGACCTTGGGTGAACAGTTTTTCAGAGGCCTGAAGTGCAGGTGGAAAGGGGGATTCCTAGAATACCTAGAGGATCTGACTAAATGAATTTCTACCTAAGATATTAAGTTACAGTAACTAAAAGGCGATAATTTATCTCCTGCTATGGCCTTTCAAATTAAATATAAACGAAATTTAGGCAGTATAAATTATGCAGAAAAAATTGATATTATACTAAAAATGATCAACATTTAGATTTTTTGCTTTCTCACATTAATAGACTTATCTATTCGAGAAGAAAGAGACACTCACTATTCCCCAGAGTTTATGCAAAATTCAAACTCCCAAAGTAAAGCCGATATGCACTTTAATTACAAAAAGAGGAAGGCTGAAGCTACATGCTGCCATTTGTAAACAAATTCTGTATGGGCACCATATATCGACGGGATTATGCATTTTACGATCTGAAGTAACAAGGCATTTAAAAATAACCAAGGTTTACAGCAATCGCCCTGATAGCACCGATTGCGTGAGCAACTGCAATTTTGAAAATATATGGTCCAGACCTGATTTTTTGCAACGGTTGAGTAAGAGATTATGATGTCATTTCTGCAGCTGTTCCCAAGTAGTTAAACTCCTTACTGAGTTTCTTTACTATTGCTTTTGACTCTGGGAGGACGGGGGGAGCTGTTTCGTATTTTAGGGCACTCTTAGGGGACCTCACTAAAAAATTCTTGTGCGTTCTGCTAATGTGCAAGACAAATGATGATCCTCCGACCTGTGACTTGGAATAAGGGGGGAACCTTTCAATTATTTTAGCTCTTGTCTTGCTGCTGTTGATTTGAGGCACAAATCAGCACAGCTGGACAAAGTGGGGTTAAAAGAGAGTCGTTGTCCCTTTTGGGGGGCTTCTGTGAAGTCAAGCGATACGCAATTTTAAGCCTTAAACTGGCTTTCGGCAGACTCTAGCCCTAGATCAGTTTCGTCCTTCGTTGTTAGATGTTTTCACCTCTTAGCCTTTAACAAGCGTCAAGAAAGGGTCATCACCTCCCTGTACAAGGAGGGTCTGGCGATCGCACAGGAGCAACGCTCCGCAAGCTTCTGGCGGGGCGGTCCGCCCGGGAGCTGCCCTCTTCCAACATGGCGCCACAGGAGGCGGGTCCCACACGTCGGCTCCCGGGGTTCCGGCGCCGGCGCGTTTTGGTTCCGGGGTAACAGTGCGCCCGCCGCCACCTTTCCTCCTCTTCTCGCCGCCGCCGCCGCCGCCGCCGCCGCAGCCGGGTCGCGCGGCTTCGGGTAGCGGGGGCTGAGCACCTACTCGCCGCGCCCTCTGGTTCTCGGAGGGCAGAGGACCGACTCCCTGACCCTCCGCCCTGGGTCCCCCTCAGCTTTCTTAGGGTCCGGCATCCCCAGGGCTCCTTCCTAATAGTCCTGGACTGAGTCCCGTCAGGTCCGGGACCCTCCCCTCGGCCACTACGGAGGGGCGGACACCTGCCTGTGTGTGTCCCCCAGTCGGGTCCTTGCTCGGCAGTCTCCTCACACCCACACTGACTGCCCAGAGCGTCACGATTCCGTTTGCCCTTTTTCCTAACTCCACAACCTCCAGACCTCTGGTCCCTCCTGGCCCGTGCCAGTCTCCAGCGCACCCTCCCTGGGGAACCCCATCCAATCCCACAGAGCCTGGGCCTGGCTTATGCCTGCCGGCCCCTTCCTGGGCATCCCTCACTCTCGCGTCCCGTTTTCACCCTCTGCTCCTCTTGTCTCCTCTTGGAGCCCCTCCTACCCAGGGGACAGGATGTGAGCCCCTTTAACCTGTAATGCTGTGGCTGGCCTTTGGCCCCTACTGTGCCATGGAGAACCAGGTGCTGGTGATTCGCATCAAGATTCCAAATAGTGGCGCGGTAGACTGGACAGTGCACTCCGGGCCTCAGTTACTCTTCAGAGATGTGCTGGTGAGTGGTAATCTCAGTGTGCTAATCCCAGGGAGGGGGACTCAGGATATTGGGTGGCCAGTTCCTTCACTACTGGTGGCCTAAGCTACTGGTGGTGGCCATTGATGGCCTCCCTGGGGGCAGATTTTTTCCTTTTTCTTTTCAGCCACAGCATTTATCATTTGCATCCACTGAAACCGGCAGATCTTCAGGGTCCTTGGAAATTAAATGAATCAGATTGAACCTCTGCCCTCAGCAAGCTCACAGCCTGGACAGGGACACACATTCCCACCAATCGGGATATTAAAAGCTGAATTTAGAGGAGAGTTTTCCCAAGTGATGGAGGAATGTCCCTGGCCACATTCCAGACATGTCTTTTCTTCTGAGTTCTATGAACTTGGTGGCCTGCTGGGAAAGGGAAACCAGGGCAACTTTAACTTACAATATGTAAGCATACCTAATTGTCCTTAGTTGTAGACAAAAATCTTAACTACCACTAAGAAAGGAAAAAGGCCGTCTGTTAAACTGACAAAAACAGCCCAATTTCAGAGATGTTAAAGTGGAGAGAAAATAGGCATCTTGGTTTTTTTTTTGGTTCCAGGGAACTCAGGACCTTGCGCTTGTGAGGCAGGCTTGGCGCCATTGAGCTAAATCCCCGGCCCTGGAAAATATCCATCTTAGAATTGATAGTGTATTACCTTTAGGACACTGAGAATATATTGCCAATGAAATTATGAAACATTAGAGCTGAGTATAACCCTGTAGGCCCTGTTTGGCTCATGTACCTTTTTTTGTTTTGTTTTTTCAGGGAATTACTGAGGTGAGGTGAAAGGACTGGGGTTTTTTTAGTATTTTTTTTCCTCATGCTGCAACTATTTCATATCTTTCTAGTCTTAGTCTGACGTATACAGGTTGCATTGTGTCCATTTTATATACTGAATCGAAGAGGCTCATTGGAAGAGGCAGACATACAGCAGAACTTACCCACCAGATAGGAGGGGCCAGAGTGGCAGGTCCTTGGAAAGAAAATTTGTGATTTTTTTATTGTCTTGGATAAAAATTTGATTCCTATAAGTTCATTTTGGGTTCTGGATGTTACTGACCACCCAAGCCATGCAGATTTTCGGAGGCTGTACTGAGCCAGCAGGTTCCAGTCTCATGCAGTGAGTACCGTTCTCTCTGCATCCCAAGTTCTCCATACTCTGATGTACACAGATTTTCTTGGTTGGCCCAGACTCCTTGTCATGGTCTTCTGGGTCTATTTTGATTGGCTCTGACCTGCGGGGCACCCAGCTTCCTCTTACCACACCCCTCTGAGCACCCTGTGCTCCAGGTAGGTGGAATTACTGTCAGTTCTCCCCAGTGCCCAGGCTGTCCCTGCTCTGGCCTTTTCTTCAGCTGACCTCTCCTTCCAAGCCAGGCTTCAGTTGTCCTCTGTGTTTTTTCTGGTACCCGGGATTGAACTCAGGACCTTGCACTTGCCAGGCAGGCACGGTGCCACTGAGCTAAATCCCCGGCCTTGTCCTCCATATTAGTGTGAGTTATGTGGCCACCTCTGTGTTCTGTAGCCTCGGGTGCACACCCCAGCAGAGCACACATTCGGTCATGATTATTTGTCCATCTATACCCCTGGAAGGTAAGCTTCTGCAGAAGATTTCTGCTTCCTCTCTGTTTCTGCTGCCTCGTAGGAACCCAAAGTATTTGTTTAATGAGGAGCTTAAAATAAGATGCTTGCATTATAGTTCTGTGCACAGAGTACCAGGTTTTGACTAAAGAAATTTGGGTTTCAGTGCCAGTTGATCTGCTAACTAGGTAAGTCACTCTACCTTTCTGAGCCTCAGTTTCCTTATTTGTAAAATAGGGATGTTGATACCTGCCTCAAAGATTTATGGAGACTGAGATTGTGTTTATGATGAGGAAGGTGAACTTTCTCTCACTTTATTCATTTGCAAAAATAGAAAGCATTATTTGAAGTAGATCAGTATAGTGTTTAAAATCACAAACTAGCTAAGCCCAGTGTTGCACATCTTTAAATCCAGCTACGTGGGAGGCTGAAGCAGCAGGATTGCAAGCTTGAAGCCAGCTGGGCAATTTTGTGAGACTGTCTCAAAATAAAAAGGGCTGGGAGTCAGGCGTGGTGGTGCATGCCTATAATCCCAGCACTCTGGGAGGCTGAGGCAGGAGGATGGCAAGTTCAAGCCTAGCTGGGCAGCTTAGCAACTTAGCAAGGACCTGTCTCAAAATAACGCAGATGTAGCTCAGTGGTAGAGTGCTTATCTAGCATGCAAGGCCTTGAGTTCAATCCCTGGTACCACCTTCCCTCTGCCCAATTTCCCCAGAAGCCTGGAGCCAGACTGCCTGAGTTTGAGTTGGAAGTTCTACCATTTGGACAGTGTCTTATTTGTTTCTCCATCTGTTTTAGAAAAAGATGGAGGGACATAAAAATAGCTCCTTAGTGTTCTGAGGACTGCTGCAGCGGATTCCTGTAGAGCGCTCAGGGCAATCTAGCACATAGTAAGTGCTCAGGAAGTGTTGCCTCAACCCCGCAAGGGTAGAGCCTTGGTCTTCTGCTTTTTGAGCGCCTTCAAGTTGTTCCTGGCTCCAGGCTGACTGGCCTAAAGGAGACATTGTGGCAATGGCCCACAAGCAGAGCTCAGAGAGCAGGGTGTCCACACACGTCCGCTTAGGCGAGGCCAGGGAGGGCCTGTGACTCTGGGTGCTGTGCTGTCTCCTGTGTGGCTTGGCAGTATGCAAGCCTAGATCCCCAATCTTCTCTCCCACTTCACCTCATCTCTTCATCAAGAAAGGGTGAAACTGACAGAATGTCAGCATCTCTGGCTTGGAACCTTAAACTTTAAAGCCACAAGAAACCTGGAAGCATCCCCTTCCTCTAATCGACCCCTCTCTAACTCCCAGGGCCTTTGCACCGAGCCACATTCCCAGTCCTTTTTTATTTTGTATGTTGAGACAAGGTCTGGCTAAGAAGCTAAATTGCCCAGGCTGGGCTTAAACTTGGAATCTTCCTGCTTCAGCCTCCCAGAGTGCAGGGATCATAGACATGCACTACCACACCCAGCTCCCATTCCAGTTTTTACCAGGAAGCATGAAATCCTGGAGGGAGAAAGTGCCTTGGTAAAGCCATTTAGAGTTTCACTCTAAATGTGTGTCACTCCGTCACAGTAATTGTCTCTGACCCTCAGTTGAGGGTTCCAGGCATTGCCTCACCAAGGAGCTGGGGACACTGGGCAGGTCTCGGCCCTCTGAGGCCTTGTCTTTTGTCTGACGCCTTGGGGACTGACTGTCGTGTGAAAGAGCCCTACCTGGTCTTCAAGGACAGAACATTGGGAGTGGCTGTTGTGTCCCTTTTTCAGCTTTCTGTTTCTCTTCTTTCCTGGAGATCTGGGAAACCTTTGCAGATTGGGTTGTATTAGGTATGGTGGGAGAGAATACCCAACCCTTTCCACTCTGCTCTTTGTATCCTATCTCTAAGTCCCAGTTCTGGTTTCCCCACATCTGTGAAATTTTTGTGTAAAACGAACCTCTGATTTTGTTCTCTTCCTGGTCAGTTAGCAACCACGATTTGGTATTTATGTCTTTAGTTGGCTCTTATCGTCCTGGAAATGTTTTATATTGTTAGTCTTTATCTTTATGACCAGATTATAATCTTCCTAAAGTTTTCTGTAGTATACTTAAAAGGCTCCTGGCATGTTGTAGATGCTCAGTTAGGTTTTTGGTCTGTCAGCTATTTATCTGATTTACTGAAAGGAAGAAGAGGGAAAGAAGAAATGATCACCATCAGGATATGTAAATTTAAGTTTTGAAACTTTGTTAGGTGAGGTAAAATGTTACCTTGGTGAGAGTAAGAGAAGATCACTTGGAAATAAGTTCAGAATAAGTCCTTAAAATTTAACTGGAAAATGTACATAAAATCATTAAATGTACCATGCTTAAAAATGACTAGTAGATACTAATTTTCAGACTTTTTACCCTTTTGTTGTTATGATAGTCCCATTTTATTTCTTTAAAGAAATAAGGTGGACAGTTGTGTTCACTTGATTGTCTCAGTTGTTTGCTTTTTCCCCCACATCAGATTATATTGGTGGGCAAACCATGCTGTTGTTACCCAGCAGGGCTCTTAGAAATTTAATGTTTGAAAGGATCTGCTCTTCATGAGCAGGAAGGATCCTAAGTTAGTTTGCTAATTCTGCAGAGTACAGTTCACATCTCAAGATTGGTTGGCAGTGATCAGAGTTCCCTGGAAGTAAGTAACCAGTGAGAACCTAGATGGGGAGGACTGGGATAGAGCATCCCCCCCCCCCCATTTCTTCCTGTACTGGCTAGAAAGAGTCTTCAGTAACTACTGCAGAAGGATGCAAGTGAGCAATTACTATCATTCTCCACTGACTGTTGAGTGACTTTGAAGGTTTTACTGTGAGCTTTGTAATAATCGGTGATTTGTGTATTTAACACACACTAATATGGCACTTGCCATGTACTGGACATTGTGCGAAGCCTTTTACGAATATCAACACACTATGACTACAAGGCAGGAACAGTTGTGATCTCATTTTTTACATAAAGAAACTGAGGCACAGAGCGGTTCCTTTGCTCCACTAGTGAGAGGCAGAGCCAGCTTCCAGCCCTGGAAGGTGGGCTTCAGAGTCTGTACCCTCATGTGTGACTCTTCTGCTCATCGACTTTATTCTTACCTACAGTTTCTCGTTAATAAATCCTTTCTCCTATCAGTGTGTAGAAAGCATTTTCTAACCCCCAAATCTTTTGCAGATATGTACTCAAAAAGTCAATGTTTCCTCCATTAATTAAGACCAGAGTCTAATGAGTAAGGGCTGCTCGGGGTAGTTCTCTGATCAATTTTATATGCACAGATTTGTTTCTGGGGGGGAAAAAAAGCACTGTAGAGGCAAGACTGTTATGCAAATGCCACTGCAGCAGAAGCTTCTGAAGAATTGCCTTTAGAAGAGGAGTTGCAGCTCCTCTCTGCTAAGTGCCCTGCTTGGAAGGGCTGTTGGGTCCCTGCTGAGCAATACTGCCAGCAAGTGAGCGGCTTTGTCAGCCTGCTGCCTGGTGCCAGTTGTGGCCCAGCCCCCAGAGAGAAATGAGGTTTGCAGGCCATTTGGTTGGGCCTGGGCATAACGAGGGTCACATTTCCCAGGCCTTTGCCATTCTGTGCCTCTTCACTTAAACTGTCACTATAGACCAGAATTTTTGATTGCTTTCAACTTTGTAGATTTATTTATACATTGATATCAGATCATATACACTTTTTGAATTTTTTTGTAAGCTACATTAACTTCTATTTTGGTGTCATTAAATATGTTTTCCATTGCTTAAGAGTAAAGGTTGACAAGAACTGTATGAAATGTAACTTTATGCATTTGTGTTTTCATCATCATGGAGATTTTGAGTATTGAATTCCTACCTCTGAGCCCAAGGCACCATGTGACTTACTGAGTATCAGAAACTACGTTTGTTGACTGTCTACAATGTGCCAAGTCCCAAGGTTATGTTTATTACATTATTTAATTTTTACATTGCTTCTCTATTACTAGATTCATTTTGGAGGATAATCAGATTGAGGCTCAGAGAGGTTAAGTGATTTTTTTTCTAAGCCATACATCTAACAATTGATTGAGATCCAGTCTTAGAGTGATCTGACTCTCAAACTCCTTTTCTCTCCCTGCACCCTCCTGTAGGACATTCTACAGGCTCCTGTGGAGATACTGTGTGTGTGTGTCTGTGTGTGTAAACACACAGTAGTGTAGTTGTATACACTGTTGAATTGAGAGTAAAAAATTGTTAGTACGATCTAAAGATTTTTCTAAGAATTTTTCTCCCTGGAATAGATTTTTAAACTGTGGGCTTACTTTACTGGGCTAAGTGTAATTATGAGCTAATGTTTTTATAGTTTATGGCGACATTTCAAAAATCTTTCCCAGGTTCTCATATTTCCTCTAGGATTTGCCACATGTTAGCAGTAAAGAAGATGGCTAATTGTGTTTCTTTATTCTTTCTTTGTTTAGGATGTGATAGGCCAGGTTTTGCCTGAAGCCACAACTACAGCATTTGAATGTAAGTCTGGCTTGCATACTTTCTTGACTGCATCTTTCTGCAGTAATATTTCAAAGGGTTTATGGCTTGTATTACTTTAGAAACTGACAAAAACAGATTATTTATGATCATCATATGGTACATTTAAATATTTATAAATTAATGCAAGTTTAATGATGATACTGAACCGAGTAATATTTTCTTATTTAATCATATCTTGGGTGTGCATATTTCGACAATATAGCTTTAATTACCAGCATGACCTTTATCTGCTCTTGCTCCTCACCATAATAATATTGAGGAACAAAATGAAACATGTAAACTACCTGTAGGCCAATGATTATTGATTAAGAGATTTTAATCCTTTATAGCCTAAAACATGGCAGTAGAATCGAGCTTCATGTGAGCACTGTATGGAACAATTTTGTTTGCGTGGGCTTGGCAGGACTGCTGGGTGAGGGTGGGAGCACCTTGGGTCTTGCTTCCCTCCCCTCTGCACTGAGTTGGCTTCTGGACAGGGCTGGGTTTCCTAGACAAGTAGTTTCGATGCAAACCAGGTCATTGCAAGAGAGTGAGCTTAGCTGGTAGCATAGGGGCTCAAGTGCTAAGAAGGGCAAAGAAGGGAGTTGTGATTCCCATCTTATTTTGAAGACAAAGGGCACTTTTCATTATAGAAATATTTGTTCTCTTCACATGATAGCATAGTTTATTTATTTACTTAATGGTACTGGAGATTGAACCCAGGGCCTTCACACTGAGCTATATCACTACCTCCATCTTCCTTTTTCTTAAAAATTCTGAGACAGGGTCTGGAGAAGTCACTAACTTGTCCAGGCTGGGCTCAGATTTGGCAGTCCTCCTGCCTCAGCCTCAGAGTGCTGGGATTACAAGCATGCACCACCATGCCCCTCTATGATAATATATTTTTTATTCTTTTTTAAAGAAGATGGCTAGTGACAGTACAATGGGGACATCTTCTTGGAGGACAGTTTAGCAAAACTTATCAACGTTATAAAATGTGCAAAACCTTTGACTCAGTGGATCCTCCTTTTGGAAGCTGTCCCAGAAATAGCTACACCTGTGCTGAATGCCCTTCAGACAAGGTGTTCATTATGGGATTTTTTTTTTTTTTGGTACTGGGGATCGAACTCGGGACCTTGTGCTTTCGAGGAAGGCGCCAGAACCACTGAGCTAAATCCCCAGCCCTCACTATGGGACTTTTTTTTTTTTTTGGTACCAGGGATCGAACTCAGGTCCTTGCACTTGCGCAGCAGGCAGCGAAACCACTGAGCTAAATCCCCAGCCCTGGGATTATTTTTAATAGCCAAAAATTGGAGGTAAGCAAAATGCTTACTTAGTTGATTAATAAATTATATCTACCCATATTCTGAAGTATTAAGTAGCTGAAAAGAGTAAGTTAGGGTTTTGTGCATTGACTTGGGAAGATAGCTATGATTTACTGTTGGGTAAGCAAATGATATATGGTATGACCCCATTTAATAAACATATTTATGCCCTCTACCCATAATATTTTGAGGGCCAGGACCCAAGTAGTACACACTGCAGTGTTTTCCTGGGGTCTCCCCTGGAAAGTGGATGTAGGGCCTTGGAGAGGTAGTAGTAGATAAATAAACTCATTTTTTACTTTATGTGTTTCTCCATTGTCTGAATATTTTCAACAGTCATTTCTTGTGTTTTGAAAGCTGTTATGAGTAGGAGTGTTAATGTAATTAGTATTTTATTAACCACACTAGACTACTTGAGAAGCATTACTTGTATCTGAAATACTTTACACAGTGTTGCTAGCTCTACGCAGATTCCTCTCCGTGGCTCTGTGGGGGCACTGGGTGTCGCTGCCATTCTACGGGTTAGCATTTGGGGACTTCCTCTTGCCAGACACTAAGAGCATCCCGTGGGTTAGCTTGTTCAGTTTCACGCCCACGAGGTCTCTACAGAGTGCAGTGAAGGACTGTCTTTAGCTCCATTTTAGCCAAGGGTGGACATTACCTTTAAGGGCGTCACCTTTAAGGGAATCTCCTTCTCCTTCAATTTCCTTCAAGGAAAGGACACCTGTGGGCATCTTGCTCAAGTGAGTGGTCAACTGGAATTTCTGGAGCAGATTCCAGTGCATACATTTGCAACCACTGTGCTGACTTGCTCTGAGAGTGGTCATAAGTGAAATTGCGTGTTCTGGTTTTTCTTAAGCATGCCAAAAAGCAGCTTACTTTGTACTCTTGCTTTCTGGGACCTGAGACCTTTGCCTGCCCCATAAATTTCCTGAGTTAAAATTCATAAAAATAACATGGGTTATTTAACTACCACTTATTGATGGCCTATTCTGTGCCAGCCAGTGCACCGGATGCTGTACATAGATTGCTGCTGTGGCTTTAATAATCTTTACACTGACTCTGTGAGGTCGGAAGATTGTACCTGTGCGGAAACTGAACTTAGAGACCTGAAATGATTGCCAGAGGTGGCCACCAGGAAGTGGTAGGGTGTGGATCCAAACACATGTCATTTTGGCTATAAAATTTTCACTTTTATAACCAAACATGTAAAAAAACCTGTGAAATGTAAATATAGAAAAAAAACCATTTAAACTTCTAGGTTTAAATTGTTTGACATTGTGTTCCCCTTTTTTCTTACAACAAGGGCTGCAGATCTGTAGCTGTCTGCATCTGGACTTGTTTTAGATCAAAAATATATACATACATACATACAATGAAAACAAAAAACTCAAAAAGCAAACACACAGAAAAAATTATGCCAAGCTTTGGTTTTTTTGTGTGTTTGGTTTATAATGTACTTTCCATTACAGACTTGGAATCCTGGGCTGATTTTTTTCATGGTTGTCCTAAGGTGGGTTTATTTTTTGAACCAGAAATCTGAACCAGTAAATGGAATACATACACACACACACACACACACACACACACACACACACATATATGAAATAGTTAAGATATAATCATTCATAAGCTAATTTACTGGAATTTTGGGGAAGTTTCAGTGGTTTATGAGTACGATGAGCAGTCCTCAAATAAAACTATTCAAAGAAATATTTACAGTAGTACATTTTATACTGAAAAGTATACCTAACCTAACACTAATTGATTTCTCACACAGAGGAGATGCTGTTGCCAGGCCTGGTGGCACATGCCTATAATCCCAGCACTCTGGAAGGCAGAAGGATCACAAGTTTGAGCCCAGCCTGTGCAATTTAGCAAAACTCTGTCTCAAAATAAAACAGGGCTTGTGATGTAGCCCAGTGTGAAGTCCCTGGGTTCAATTCCCAGTATTGCAAAAAAGAGAAGAGAGAGGTTATTATATTTAGTGATCTGAATTAAACAGCAAGTGATAGGGCAGCTGTCAAGTCTCCGTTTTACCTAAATATGGAGAAGAGAGTTGAGAATGGAAAAGGAGAAGGATCAGGTGATGTAGAGATTGTCCAGTGCTGAGAAGTGCTGTCTCTTCAGTGAAACCACTGATAATCATTTTCTGGTTGGTTGTGTGGGGTTTCCCTCCCTCACTAGATTCTGGTCACTTTGTGATAAGCTCAGTTCTTTAATTCACGTTTGCTCTCTTCCTATTACTGAGCTTTAGCACCTTAGAGGAACACACTTGTTGAACAAAATGGAATGCTAGATGTGTTCCTGTTCAAATGAAAATGATAAAATACACATGATCCAAAGGCAAATGAGTCATTTCCTTTTGGGAGTTATTTGTGCTATTGCTTGGGCATGGGATATAATTTGTTGGTGTGGACCAGTCAGTCCCCAAATTCAAATCCCCTTATTTACTTTCCTGGGGGGCAGAGGATCTGTCATGGTCTTACTCTTTTTGATTTCTTATCCTGGGGGTGGTGTTTCCTGATGGAGTTAAGGCTGGATGGGAAGAGGGAGACCTATCTCTGCTTAACTCACCTTTTGGGCTGATGGTACTAAACCCCCTTTTTATCTTACCTCTTTTAAGTCCTTTCTCCCTCACAACTAGAGCACAAATGAATGTTAATAGCTAGTGTTTAATTTTTTTCAAATTAAAAGGATGTAATCTTTAAACAATCAAGGAGCATAGAAACAAAACAAAAATTAAAATCCCTGTTTTCTCACAACCTCTGGTTTCATTGTTAGCAATTCTTTTGTATCTTTTTTTTTTTGGTACTGGGGCTCGAACTTGGGTCCTTGCGCTTGCACAGCAGGCGGCGAAACCACTGAGTTAAATCCCCAGCCCTATTCTTCTGTATCTTTATGGAGATTTTCTTCATATATAATACATACCAAGCTTCAACTACTTTCCACTGCCCCCTCTTAATAGCATGTATTAGACCTCTTTCCAACATCAGTGTACACAGATCTGCTTCATTCTTTTGGATGATTATATTAGACTTAATTTTACAGTCATAATATATTTAACCTCCTGATGGGCATTTAAGTTATCAGTGTTGCAGTATTAGAAAAAATGCTGAGGTCAATAGCATTGTCGGATCTTTCCACATTGTGGAAATATGCTTATTCCTAAGGCCTGAAACTACCAAGACAAAGGGTGCCCATATTTGCATTTCCATAGCTATTATAATGTTTGCTTTCCAACTGCAGAACCAGTCTATACTTCCTGTTTCTTTCCATTCTCAACAACTCTGTTAGCAAACATTTTAGTCAGTGTCAGTTTGATAGGTGAAAAAAATAATTATATTACTGTTTTATATTTCTTTAATTATAATTGAGCTTTAGCATCTTTCCATTTGTGTTTAACACCTATGAATTAATTTTGGTCACCTTTGCCTGTTTTTCTATTAGGTTATTTGTCTTTTTCGAATAGATAGAAGAGCTTTCCAAAGAACATTGCCCCTTTGCCTTATTGTTTAATTTATTGCTATTTTTAGGTTTGGTTTTGTTTTTTTCAAGTAGGAAAATTTATTGGGGAATAGGAATGAGGAATAGGAAGGGAGAATAGGAATAACTCCTGAGAGACAGGTAGGGTCCTGGCGTGTCTCTGAGAAAGTTCTGTAGAGCAAAATCACA